AGCCTCTCCAACATTTGTTGTTGGTTGATTTCTTTATGATAGCCAATCTTTCTGGAGTGAGATGGTATCTCAGTGTTTTAATTTGCATTTCACGGATGGTTAGTGATGAGGAACATCTTTTCATATAATTATTTGCTGCTTTAATTTCGTCGTCTGAGAAGTGGGTGTTCATCTCAGATGCCTATTTTTGGATTGGGTCTTTAAATTTAGGGCCCCTAATGTTCTTTAGTTTTTTATAACTTCTACACAGCAGACCTTTGTATGCGTGCTTATTAGTTAAGATTTTTTCGAAGTTTGTGGGTTGTCTTTTCACTTTGTTGATAATTTCTTTTGATGTACAAAAACTTCTCAATAAGAGGTGGTCCCAGTTGTTAATTCTTTTGATTATTTCCCATGCGATTTGATTTCTGTTCATGAACTCTTTGCCTACCCCTATGTCTTCAACAAGAGATCCTCCCACTTTCTCTTCTAGGAGATTTAGTGTTTCTCTTTTAATGATCAGTTCTTTAATCCATTTTGACTTTAGTTTAGTGCATGGTGATAGACCTGAGTCAAGTTTTAGTTTTCGGCATGTAGAGAGCCAATTTTTCCAGCACCATTTGTTAAAGAGGCTATCTTTCTTCCAGTAAGTGTGTTTGGCCCCTTTGTCAAAGATCAGGTGGCTGAGTGCGTTCCTAGAGGCCTTTGCATCTACTAGTCTATTCCATTGATCCTCAGGTCTGTTTTGTTGCCAATACCATGCTAATTTTATTACGGTAGCTTTGTAGTATAATTTCAAGTCAGGAATTGTAATACTTTGTCTTTGTTGCCCAGAATTGCCTTTGCTATTCTAGGTCTTTTTTGGTTCCAAATAAATTTTAGGGGGCTGGTGAGATGGCCCAGTGGCCTAAAGTACCTACTTAGAACAAGCTTAGCAAAGCACAGGGACCGTGGTTCAATCCCCCAGCACCACATGTCAGCCAGGCCTGCCCCCTGGTGGGCTGAGCTGGACACACACACATACACACACACACACACACACACACACACACACAAATAAAAAAACAAAAAACAAAAAAAACCAAATAAATTTTAGGAAAAATTTCTCTAGGTCTGGGAGGTATGTTGGTGGTAGTCTCATAGGGATTGCATTAAATCTATACAACAATTTTGGGAGTATGGCCATCTTCATGATGTTGGTTCTTCCTATCCAGGAGCAGAGCATATCTTTCCATTTTCTGAAATCTATGATCTCTTCTTTCAGAATATTGTAATTTTCTGTGAAAAGATCTTTAATTTCTTTAGTTAGATGAATTCCAGAGTATTTCATTTTTTGCAGGGCTATTGTAAAAGGTATTGTTTCCCCAATTTCCCTCTCAGTGTGTCTGTTATCTGTGTAGAGGAATGCTATTGACTTTTGGGTATTGACTTTATATCCTGCTATACTACTGAATTTGTCTATCAATTCTAGTAGTTTCTTAGTGGAGTTTTTTGGGTCTTCCAAATAAAGTATCATGTCATCTGCAAATAATGATAGTTTCACTTCTTCTTTACCTATTCTTATTCCTTTTATTTCTCCCTCTTGTCTAATGG